CTTAGTTTGGAGTATTATTATTATTATTATTATTATTATTATTTGATCTAACAATTGGAATTATTATATTATTATTATTATTATTATTTGATCTAACAATTGGAATTATTATCTCAATCAATAAATTTAAATAACTACTCTTTTAGGTTAATGTTAACATTTTTCACTTTTTTTTATATTCCACTTAGATGATACTTTCGAAATTAACGTAGTATTGATTATTTTATTTCAATTTCACTTTTACCTAGAGATCTCTATCAAATTTTGTGCTTATTAATTACAAAGAATTAATAAAAGAGTAATTTAGTCAATTATTTTTATTTTTATAAAATTGAGGTGGTTCAATTATTTTTTTTAATTTTTTGTGAAAAGTGAAAAAATGTCTAAAGTAATATATTATACCTATTTTCAATATTAATTCAATATAATTAATCATCCTAATTCTACGAATCATTTTTTTTCTTTTACAATAATTTGCAACATATGACGAAGCTATGCTTCAATAGCATCAATTGAGGAATAAGCCGCACTACCAGGCTCCATTGATCAAAAATTCACACCTACAAATCAAGATTTAAAGTCTCCAATCAAATAAATTCAAATATCATAGTTATTTAGTAATAAACCCTCACAACGAAGGGACAAAAAAAAAATCTAAATATGGAGAAAACTAATAATAACAAAACAAAAAAGACAGATATGTTACAGGGAAAAGATATGTAATTTTATTAAAGTAAAAGTAGATTAAAAACAAAAGAAGGTGAAGCAAAAGAGATAATAGAAAGTAGGAAGTAGAAAACTAAAATTAGTGTTAGAAAACTAAGAGACAAAGAGAGAACTAAATTTTTTCTCTTTTATTTTTTATTTGATTTGATTAAGATGGTTTTTAGCTTATGAAATGAGTTTAATAAGAGTTATTAAAATAAAAGAATTAATCTTTATTGCAATTGTACGTAGGTTCATAATTAGTTCATAAAATAAAAGAATTAATAAGAGTTTAATGAGTTTTTCTTTTTTTAATAACTCATTGATTAAAGCCATAGAGGGAGAGAAAAGAAAAGCTAACTGAGAGCAACTTATCTTATCGATGTTTTTTGTACTCTAATGTGCATTTTCCATGACATCTTTTAGTGGCCGAAAGATGGGATTGGTGTTGGAAGTCCATGACACCTACTTTTCATTTTTCTTGTAGTGAAATTCTTAGATGACATTTTCAGAAAATTTGTATAGTATTAATTATTTCAATTTTATTCTTGTCTAAATATCTCCACCAACCTTTGCTTCTCTTTATTACAAAAAGCTAATTAAAGATTTATTTAATCAGTTTCTATTGCTCCTTTATCTATAAATATAAGTCGTTTTAAGATAGTCCTTTGTTCACAAATATAAGTAGTTTTGAGAATATTAAACAATAATTAATGAACTTTTTTTAATTTTACCTTTATTTATATTAGATATAATAATGAGTTATTCTTAGTTTTCAAATACAAGATAATTTAGTTAAATCATCATTAATTGTTTCTTTGATCCCTGTACAAAAACATTAAATGACTTATATTTTGGTTAGGAGAAAATATTAAACACATTAATTATTAATGATGTGAGATAATACGGAATTTAGTCAACTTAATGAACTTTTTATTATAATTTAAGAAAATTAATTATTTTTTAATCACTGTCCAAAAACTTATATTTATAGATGGATCTAGTATTATAAAATCGAGCTGGTTTAATAATTTTTTAAATTTTTATAAAAAGTCAAATGTGTCAAAATTAAAGGTAGTAATAAGAAATGATTCTAATTGACTAAATTAATTTTTTATCAATTCTTTAAATAATTATTACTCAGTGGAGATACCACAAGATGGTAAAAGTGAAAAAAGAAAAATGCTTGGTTTTATATTCTAAAATGACAATTGAAGTGGGAAAAAAAAACCCCTTAAAAGACACTTAAAAGAGAAAGACCATTCGATTTCTATTTGATAAAGGAGGGATTGAGTATTGATACTGTTGAAACTAGATGGAAGGATGGCAGCCACAGCTCGAAAAAGAAATTTTTTAAAAAGAAATCCTTGCGAGAAATTATAATTACTTGTGAGTAAACTTGTCCTAGTGGGAAACCAGCGATGGCGCATCTGGTCCCATGTTGTTTTCTTTTTATCTTTCTAAAACTTGTATGTATTATCATTTGCGCATCTGGTCCCATGTTGTTTTCTTTTTATCTTTCTAAAACTTGTATGTATTATCATTTCTCTTTGGAGAACATTACTTTTTTCTTTTGAAGGAAAGGATATTACTTTTATTATTATTGTTATTATTTTAGTACAAAAATTAGTTGTCATTTGCATAAACAGCATATATTGACTTTGCATAGACTTAGAGTCATCTCTGCTTGCCATTTTCAAGCCATAAATTCCTCAATCATCAAAAACTACGTGTTTTCCTTTCCAGGATATATACAAAGGCTCCCACTTATCAACTTGAATTCACAATATTAAGGTACGTGAAAGCTCTCAATTTTATATATATACACACGTAGTTCTGTTTTTTCATTGACATAATCTTCTGCTTTTTTTTTTTTTTTTTTTTTTCTTTTTTTTTTTTTTTTTTTTGGGTTATAATTTATAATTAATAATCCTTTTTTCATTTTTTCCCCCTCCTTCACAAGTTAAATTTTACTCTAATTAGGGATCGTGATGTAATTAATGTATATAATTAATTAGATTTTTCTTTTTTTTCCCTTCAAATTCCTATTTGGTTTAGAAATCCTAATAAGTTTCGACTTGGTAAATAAATATATTTTTCAGGGCTTTCACGGGAATTTTTATTTTGATTCAATTTTGGTTTTAAATTCATTCTTCTTATCTCAGAATTTTCTTGTATTTTATTTTTAAGGTTATCCAGGTTTTTCAGTTGGCATTTTCAAATAGATTTAGTGTTATTTTTTAAGTTTCTGAGGATCCTATTGACTCGGGTATAGTTTCTAGATTTTATTAAATTTTTTCTGAATATAATTAATTAATAAAATAAGATATTTTTTTCTGATAAAAAAATTATATATATATATTTCAGGGATTTATTAGCTTTGTGTTTGTTTATGTTGACAGTAATAATTTAACTTTGATATTTCTATTCTATTTGGGAAATAGTTTGGATAGTAAAGTGTGAAAAAAAAAACTTATATAAATAATAATAAAGTAAAATAAATATTAAATATTAAGGCTAGATATAAGTGATGCTATCTATTCATAATGTTAAATTAAATTAAATTAAATTGGATCGTATGACTTAGTTTTTCTACACTTAAATAAAAAGTAATTTAGGTTATAGTTTTATAAAAAATATAATCATAATTGAAAGCGCAACAAAAAAAAAAAATGGAGAAATGAAACCTTGTTAATAAAAAGACATGTATACCAATATTGGAGTCTAAGCCTTTTGAACACCGTAGTTATAAAAAATAAAAAAATAAAAAAATAAGGTCATGTAATATAATTTTTAGAATATTATTGTATAAGTAATATTACAGTTGATGTAAAGAAATTAACAGATTATTCATTTTAGTCCCAAGCCTATGGGCAGTTGAGTTGCATTCTTTTGTTAAATGTGTGAACTTTACAGGTTGCTGCCCAAACAATTAAAGAGTATGGAAGCAGTGGCATCTGTGATTCTTGAAAAACTAGCAGAGGAACTTACTGAAGCGATCAAAAATCAAGCTCAATATGCAATTGACTTCAAATCTGACCTCAAGAACTTGAAGGATAAGCTTAAAATTGTCAAAGCTTAAATTGTCAATGGTTTCTTGTTGCTGATATGGATAAGCTCAAGGAAAAAAAACAAGTTTCTAAAGGAAGGCCTTTGTCTCAGTTGAGAGAGTTTGGCTTATGATGCTGATGAACATTTTAACAGATTGCATGATCAGAGAGAAATATAGAAAAGATGGACACTGCCTTCTCCGCTAAATGATGCCAATTTTCGGGTAATAAAACGGAAGAAAAGTTGAAAGATTTAAATTCACGTATGCAAAAACGTAGAGGATAAGCATGAAACATAGTATCTCAATATAATCACAATCACGGTTCAACAATTGAACAAGAACGAAGGAAGTGCTGATATCCAATAAGTGGTATCAGAGCATTAATCCCAACAAGTGGTATCAGAGCTGATATCCAACAGGATTGGAAGAAGACATAAGAAAGCTCAAGAAATGGATTCTCTGCGAGAATAGGCCACCACTGCAATTTGTTGGCATTGTCGGGTTGGGAGGTTCAGGCAAAACTACTCTTGTTTGGGAAATTTACAATGACAAGGAAGTAATTGATACATTTAAGCAAAACAAAATCTGGCTGACTGTTTCTCAAGATTGCAATGAAGAAAGCATTATAAAGAGCATATTGGAAGAACTAAAAAAACAGCAGCAGGAGGAGACACAAGGAGGTGATGATCATGAAAGTTTCTGCCTTGTCATTTTGGACGATATATGGAATGTTTTCAATCTATCTCATTGGCAGGACTTATGCTCTAGTCTTGAGAAAAAAATGAGATCAAAATACCTGCATCATTATCACAACTAGAATAGAAGAAGTTGCAATCGGTATGCGAGTAAACAGTTCTCGAATCCATTATCCAAAAGCTTTAGAAGATGAAAAAAGCTGGTTAAAAAAGCTGGTTATTGTTTCACAAGGTTGCATTTTCTCCCAATGACGATATCTGTAAAGCTGAGAATATCATCGAAGTTGGAAAAAAGATAGTGAAGAAATGCGGAGGACTTCCTCTAGCAATCAAAACCATAGCAGCCTTATTGAAATCAAAACGCCAGCTTAATGAGTGGGAAAAAGTTTATGATGAGTTCCAGAAATTAACTCAGGAGAAGGTCCCAGTAATGGCGTCTTTGCAACTAAGTTATGATGCACTCCCGCGACACCTGAAGCAATTTCTCTTGAGTTTTTCTATTTATCCTTGAGTTTTTTCTATTACCTGAAAGATTTTGAGATATTCGAGCTGAACAATTGGTCCACTGGTGGGTTGGCGAAGGCCTTATCAAGAGCCAGAATTCAAAAACTGCAATGGATTTGGGGTATGAATGTTTAGCAGACTTAGCTGGGAGATGCTTGGTTGAAGTAGTACGGAGGCGTGGTTATGATGGAAAAGTCCACAGTTGTAAAATGCACGATCTTGTGCGGGATTTAACCATTAAAATTGCAGGAGAAGAAGAACTTTGCAGTTTCGAAAGTCGAGGCAAGCAACGACAATTAATAATGCAAGATTCACGCTGGTTGGGTATCACAGATGAAAATATTTCAATGAAAATATTTCAATATCATCATTGAGTCAATGTTCAAAATTAAGGGCAATTCTATTGATGTCTAGCTTAAGCATTTCATCAAACATGCCTATCTCCCTGAGTTCCCTTAGAGTTTTGGATCTCTCCAATGGCAAGCTAGATGACAAATCTGTGGAGAATCTGTTCAAATGGATCATTTTACTCAAACGCTTGGCACATCTCAATCTAAGCGGGGCTCCTGGTCTCAAAAACGTTCCCCGCATTCGAAAACTCCGAAACCTTCAGCTTTTGGTTTTGAGTGGATGCAGTAATTTAGTAAGTCTAAACGATTCATCCATCATTTATTTGAAGAAGCTCTTGATTTTGGACTTGGGATCCTGCGATAGTCTTATGTTCTTACCGCAAGGAATCGGAAGGCTAACAAAACTTGAAGAATTGTCTGGATTCAAGTTGCATCGACGAGAAAATTCACAAAGTTGTGGCCTTCTCAACGAGAAAATTCACAAAGTTGTGGCCTTCTTGAGCTTCAAAACCTAGTCCAACTAAGAGTACTGCGAATTAAGTTAAGTGATGAGAGCGAAATCTTGGACAATGAGTGGGAGGCTTTATCAAGACTTGAGAAACTCCAGGTTTTAGCCATTGATACTGAAAATACTAAAGAACCAACAAATCTGCAAAAGCTAGATCGGCTTAAACCTCCTCCAGGTCTTGAACAAGTTTATCTTAGGCACTATCGTCGTAACCATCTACCAGAATGGATTAACCCCAAAACACTTTCTAAGTTGCAGTATTTGTCCATTGAGTTTGGAGACATAAAACACTTGTCCATTGAGTTTGGAGACATAAAACACATTTGCCCAAATCTTGAACTTCGTGAAGAGAAATGGAAACTCGTGGGTTTGTGCTTGAAGTTCCTGCCACTCTTCGAGGATGACTGGAAAAAATTAAAGCAGATTATGCCTTCTTTATGTGATGTTGAGGTTAGCAATTGTCCCAGTTTGAAAAATCCACCGTATGAGGACAAGAGCTGGACTTCGAGAAACCTACTAACATAATATATAGATATTTGCAAAGATTATATAAAAAGTGGTCTGCTTGACCCCAAATCTCACTTTCATGTTTTATAGAACAATTATTGAATGATTTTTTAAGTTAAATAAATTCTGTTCACATAAAATTCGAATTATTCTTTAATCAAAAGCTCATAACAAAAAAAAATTAAATTAACAATATAACATATCTGTAATATATTGTTATATTACATATATAACTATAGGTAGGAAGACCTCTTGCTCAATAGATAATTCGTATTGAAACCTCTTACTCTTTGTACTCGCTCCTTGTATTTTTTACAAGAAATATAAATACTAATTAAATCATACATAATATTAAAAGTGCTACATTGAGTTATGTAATTAAATAAAAAATTTTGAGGAAAATTCCATTAATTTGTGCTCTCAGAACATTTTTTTCTCCTTTCATTAAATAAAAAGCTGAAAACAAGACGTGAAAAGTTACCTAATATTCCATCTATATTCCATCTCCACTTGTATATAAATAAATAAATATACAATCCCAAAAAGTTAAAAAATTATTTTTTTAAAAAAAAAAAAGTGAAAAGAAGAGTAAAAGGAAAACGACTCTTTTTTGAGTTGGATGGCATGATTCATACATACTTCAAAAGAAAAATAATATAAAACGAAAAATTAATATAAAACGAAAGCACAAAAATAATATAAAACGAAGACTAGACCTTAGTCTAGTGATTTGATTTATCAAATAATAAATTAATAAATTTACTAATTTTATAAATATAGTCTATTATTTTTCAACTAGATAAATAAATTTAGAAATTTATTAAATTCTTAAATTCTATCAATATAAATAACCAATTATAATTGTTTGGAGCTCAAATAATTGCTTTCCATAACTTTTTACTTATTTCCAAAAGTTGATAAATAAATTTTATAAATTTGGTTTTGTTATAATTTCAGAAAACTAATTACGTCTGATCAAATTATCTCTGATTTTATTATAATTTAAGAAAAAATTGTTTTTTTAAATTTAATATAAAAACTTTAAACGACTTATATTTTATGAGTGATGGAGTATAAAGCAAGACTCAGATTACAGTTGATGAAATAGTTCGCTATAAATTGATTAAAATTTTCATTTTCACCGAATATCGTCTAATCTAATTATGAGGACATGTTTGACAATAATATTTAAGGTAGCTTTTTGCAGTTCAATTAGGTCAAAACTTTATTTCTATTAGTTAAAGTTAGTATTCGGTAAAAATAGTGTGATAATTAATATTAAATTTAAAAGGACAAAAAAAGTAAAGGAATAGTTTTATATCACAAACAAGGCTTGTTAATTTGTAAAAAATAATGAAAATAAATATAAAAAATTTATCATTACGAAATGCTAAACAGTAGATGGGTTAACATTTTTTTAAACCTTCCCCTAATCTCTAAAAAATATTATATAAAAATTATTATACTATTGTAACCAATGAAAACAGTGTTTTAATCAAATAAAAACGCTAATAATTTTCTTAAAATTTATTATCGAATATGTCCTTAAGATAGAATAGATAGAATTTTAGAACATCATCACACATACGATTAAAGCTCTTGTCATGGACCACGAACATGAGAAAAATTAATTTAAAATTAAAAAAATTAAATAAAAGGAAAGGTCCTCTCTTCGTTTGTTAGCTATCCAATGGATAATATATTAATATTTTAATTTTGCATGATTAAAGCTTTTATCTTTTTTTATAATTCTATATTAAAAAAGGGCAAAAGCTACGGTATCCAGAGGGTAGGGCATGGTAATCATTAAGGTTTTAAAGTAAAAGATAAGAAGATCCTAGCTCCCACGTGTCTTTTTATAACTGTACGAAATCATAATAAGTAATAAAAAAAAAGTAGAGTATCGTTTTCACGAGGATTCTATACCAAGTATTAAAAATCGTGTTAACCTACTATTATTTAAACGATAATAAAGAGAATTATCTCGTCCGTAGCCGATGTGAGATTCGCCTAAGGTGATGCCCCCTGATGTCCAGGATGTCACATTCACCCCCCCTAAGAGACTCAGCGTCCTCGCTGAGGTTTGCCCCACCACCACCCCTTAAGAGACTCAGCGTCTCGCTGAGGTTTTGCCCACCACCACCAGCCAGAGGACCGAGGCCCGGCTCTGATACCAATTGCATTAGCCCTGACCTGGTTAGTATTGTCCGCTTTGGCATAGTCTCCTGATTTGGCCCGGGATGTCACGATTACCTCACGGATTATGTGTCCCTTGGGCCAGGGGTCACCCACTCTGCCAGCCCAAAAGCGCGCTAACCAAGTTAGAGACTACCCCTCTTATGTATAGATCGTTTACCTCGTCAGTAGCCGATGTGGGATTCGCCTAAGGTGATGCCCCCTGATGTCCAGGATGTCACAGAATAATTCTACAAATAAAAGAAATAAAATAAAGCGAAGAAAAAAGAACTTGAGCTTGTAATTGTTGAGAAGAAATCAAGGATTAAAAACTATTAGGGATTATGACTTTATTTAATTCTATCCAATTTATTCTATTAGTTTGATAATTAATTTTAATTGTTCGAGTAGGGAAAACAACCCTAAAATCAAACATGAATTAAATCATTAAGTTTTATGATTTGTTTGTGAATTCATAACCTAAGGTCCTAAGGTCGTTAACTTATGAAAACCCCATGAGTCAAATCATATAGCTTCCGTATCAAGTTATTGTTCTCATGTAATTTATTATCTTTTTCATATCAAAAATCATTCTCCCGATAGTGATTAATGAAATAAATCAATCCAGGGGATAAACTCTGCCTGGAAGCATTAATTTTAATAGTAAATTATATCATGAACAAGGAAAAATAAATCTAATATTATAAATTGGAATTGAAATTAAGTTATATCAAATCCTTAGTATATGAGAGTTTACTATGTCCATTTTTATGATCCACGGTAAACTCAACTAATCTTCATTCACAAAACGGAGGCAAAAGAGTTGGCCGGATGAGTTTAGTCGCAGAGGATTAAACTCATGACTTAAGAGGATTAAACTCATGACTTAAGTCGTGGTGATCAACCACGCAAATGCTCTTCAGCACTGATTACTCTTATTCGGGTTAAAAAACAAATGATAGTTCCTGATCGTAGAGGATTAAACTCATGACTTAAGTCGTGGTGATCAACCACGCAAATGCTCTTCAGCACTGATTACTCTTATTCGGGTTAAAAAACAAATGATAGTTCCTGATCGTGTAATATTATGTTCCTTTCGTCCTATATTTTTGTCTCATTTTTCTTTTCATCCATCCCAAATTATTGTCGTGTTTCTTTTTTAAAAAAAAAAAATAATAATATTTAAAATTTACTATTTTACTCTTATTTAATATAGTTTTTTTTTTAAAAAAAAAAATTTTTTTTTTAAAAAAAAAAAAAAAAGGAATAGCATTACCGAATATCACCTAATAAAGATAAAAAATAAAGCACACAAAGACATATAAGATAGTAGCAAATGCATGCATGACTTGATAATAAATCAGGTTGAATCTTCCTTTTCCAATATTAAAAAAAAAACAAAAATAATAGATAATGATGGAACAGTGAACCAACATTTAGGGTGAAATTTTTTCAATATTAAATTAAAATTAAATTAAATTATTAATATGTCCTCTTTTAATATTAAATTAAAAAATCAAGGAAATTAAAATATTTTGTTATCTATTTTGTACAAGTAAGCACAATTATTGAAGTAAAGTCTCAATAATTGTTCCATTAGCATTCCTACATCACAAAACCCTGAATGATTTATTCCAGTGATCATTAAGAGACAAATAAATCACAAAAGCAGGATTTAAGGTCATAAAGCTTAGAAAAAACTAGCATATTATAGCATACTTTCACAAGAATTTGAGGTCTGTATCCGTTTTTATGGTCTACAATAAACTTAAATAATCATCATTCATCTTCGGAGGCAAAAGAGCTGGCGGAGGAGTTTAGTCTCAGAGGATCAAACTCATGACTTTAAGTCATGATAATCAATCACGTAAGTGTTTTCCAGCACTGATTACTCTCATTCGGGTTAAAAAATAAATGATAATTCCTGATAGTGTAATATTATGCTCCCTTCGTTCTATATTTTTATTTCATTTTTCTTTTCATCCATTTCAAATTGTTGTCTTGTTTCTTTTTTTTTTTAAAAAAAAGTTAATAATATTTAAAGTTTATTATTTTATTTTTATTTAATATATTTTTTTCTCAATAAATATAATAGTAAAATTACTACATTATCATTAACTGGGGACTAATAAGTTACAAGAATTTGAAAAATTATCAAAACGAATATTATAGTTGTCGAAACTCGGTCAAGCTCAAGTCTTCTTACCTTTGATTTTTAAACCCTTATCAAATCATGCTTTACAACAGGACATACTTTTGGACATTGGACACCTTTCTAATATATATATATATATTAAAGAGAGGGTCTCTCCCTTTAATTTTTAAACCCTTCCTTCATCAAATCAAGCTTTAATTGAAGATAAATCTTCAAAATATTAAATAATTAAAGATGAAGGGTTCATGTTTAACAACACGGACATAAGTTACTTGGACACCTTTTCTAATATATTATATTAATATATATACCTATATATAATATATATATAATATATTATATATATTAAAGAGGGGTCTCTCCCTTTAATTTTTTAAACCCTTAATCAAATCATGCTTTAATAAAGATAAATCTTCAAAATATTAATTCAAAATATTAATATATTAAAGAGAGGGTCTCATGCTTTACAACAGGACATAGTTACTTTTGGACATCTTTCTAATATATATATATATATTTTAAAGAGAGGGTCTCTCCCTTTTTTTTTTGTGTCCTTTCTTTTAATCTTAAATTAATATTTCTCATGTGTCCCATTCTCTTCGCGTGCATCATCCGCGACGAGAGCATTAGTTGTATGCATGATGATACTTGGAATTTTAAAGAATGACTAAATACATCAATTCACACGTCAATTTTATAATTTTAATTTTGTAACACTTTGAATATTTGAATTTGTAAA